AATGTATGTAAATATGTACATTAGGAATGTTAATCTCGGGATCCCGGACTTTTTAAGGTCTTCTTGGCAAGTAATTCCGGAATTTTCGGAATTTGTAATTTGCACTGATGGCAATAATAGAAACTCCTTTTCTTGACCAGTATTGGCTATATCTCTTTTTTTATTTAATAATTAATAGTTTTTATACATCTAACACCGCGCGATAGTAAATTTTAAACACAAATATATTAATATAACAAATTCGCGAAACCATGGGACAAATATAGTAAAATTGCGTTTTTAATTTTTCACTCTGACGTCAGTAATTCAAAAATGATTTGAAAAATTCAGAGAAATGTGCTTAGAGAAGAAGTATGGGTATAAAATTAATAAGGAAAGCCTGTAGAATTTAAACAGATTCAAGTTTCCGGTTGAAAATGTAATTTTAAAATTTTATCCTTGAAATTTAGCAATATTAGTTTTTGAAAAAATTACATGCTAAGGGCTCATATAAACTCGATAGCATCCTCGAATTCTAAAGAAATTCCCTATTGCATTTGTGGCCCATATTTTTATTCTACATTGCATTGAATTTATTTAATAATTTTGGGAATTAATCATATTTTTGAAATTACAAAGTCCTTCAAAATAAACGCCACTTTAAATAAAAAAGTAGGTTTCAAACCCATTTACATATTTATTATTTATTTCACGGTAGGAGAGCTTCTCAAACAATATGGAAGCAATTTTTTCGATTCAAGTTGTTGAAAAGTAATTAATATATAAATCCTGCGATTAAGACAACGCTATCCCGAAAATACCGAGATCGGAAAAAGCCGTAAAATTAACATCCCTAATGTACATACATATGCATGTGTGTATGTTTTTCAATTGCAGGTACAAAACTAGGTTTGCTCGTAACTTCATCTGTACATAAGTATGTACGTATGTATGTATGTATATTTATTCACAACATAAACAGATTATATACAGGTTCTGTGTGTAACAGGTGAAAATGTAGTGTATGTATATGTACATACATATGTATGTAACAACCTCAGTCTAAACTGGACAAAATAAATTTTATTTTATGTACATCTGCAAATCCAAGCAAATACGTATCTTATTAATGTAGTGCCTTAACACAAAAGAAAACTTGCTGACTGAATTTATTTACAAAAAAAAAACCTACCACGTACTAAGCCAAATGCGAAATAAATAAATGTTTTCCTTCTAATGTCCATAGCTTCCGCATTTCCTCTCATTTTCGCAGGCATTTCAACGACTTTTCCAATAGCTTCCCTTCCTTGCAAAGGGGAAATCATAGGGCCTCTTACACAAAAAGTGAGCTTAAGCTCCGACTCGATTTTCATTGGCAAATTTTTGAGCTTGAGCTCACTTTATCAGTGCAAATTTTAGTCAGTTTATATGCATGAGGCCCATAGTTATGGCTTGAACTCCTCGGAGAAATTCATTTCAAAGCTGTATTTAATAACAAAAATTTTTTGATATGAGTGCAAAAGTAGACATGGCACCAATGGGAGAGGTTGCCACCCAATATCCAAAATTTATACACATAAAAATACATATTCAATATTTAGGTACATTTATCTACCTCCAGGTAAAATTTTTTTCGGCAAATAAGTAAAATTTGAAAATTTAATTTTCATATTGTATGCGCATATTTTTCAATTTATGGTTCATTGCAATTCGCTCCCTAATAAAAGGGTACTGCAGAGCGTATACGTAATGCCGCTCTGTTGAAAGTTGCTTGTTTTGAATGTTTTGCCAACTGTGACCTTATTGGATAAATGGGTTTATTTACTAATATATTTTTTATAAATCGCTCGTATCTATACTTTTTTGTGGTATTATACATTTTTTGGATTCCAAAAATGGATACTGAATTTTTTTTTCCAATGTACTGCATTTATACAAAAAATTAGTTTTTTTTGCTATCGAAATTTTTTAATGCACAGAAGTAGTATAAATTTATCAGTTGTTGATACAAAACGATAGAGCGAATTGTTCGTGACAAAAATAGGAACACGATATTTTTTTAGCAGCTTTTACTATGATTCCTTTATTTGTTTAATGCTCATTCATTTTTTATTAAAGTGTAGTTTCATTTCAAACTTTGTAGAAAAATTCAAACAGTTTCCACAATAACACAATAACAAACTTTTTATTTCATAAATTCTACGTATGCAGTTTTGTAGTCCAGTAAATTCTAGTATAATAAAGTGTGAGTTGAAAGAGGCTAAGAATTCGCGTTGATTTTTGATAATTTTGTTGCCGACGAGGGTATGTACATACCCTCCATACAAAAAAAAAAAAAAAATGTTGGAACATAGTAACTTTGTATGGAAGAAAATGCATGGCACCCCTGCAAACCAAAGTTCCCGAAATCTTAACGAAATCTTTAGTAGTATCACATTTCTGTAACGAAGAAAATTATATGAAAAACTGGTAATGAAATTTCTATACGAAAAATAAAGAAAATTCTGAAAAATTTCTGCAAGAAATTCTTCACGTAGCAGCACTAATTTCATTGCTTTACCGATTTTCTTCAGAAATTTCGTCATAGAATCGAAGAGTCCACAGTTTATTTCATTTTAGATAATTCGGCAAAAAATCGGATGAGGTCTTTACGAATTCTTTAAAATTCCTCTACAATTCAGAATACTCTGAAAAAGTGGTTGGCAGGGACCGTTACAAAAAACATTGTCAAAAATCAGCAGTATTTGTAGACACTAGAAAATTATCGCGCCGCAACTTGGTTGAATTTTTCTAATTTTTGTACAAAACATTTGAATTTACATATATTTTCTTAAACACAAAACAAAGATTACAAAAAGTGTGAGCAATCCCGGATGACTAAGGGGGAAATCGCAAGGGAACATGCCACTTATGAGGTGGGTTTTGTCGAAGGCTGAGGTGACCTCAGCCGATCCAGAGTCCAGCGAAGGTCCCACTAACCCCCAGCAAATAAAACACTCTAATATCTTGTATTTACTTCGAACACACACACACAGCGGTATGACAAGAGTGGCAGCCAGGGATGCCAACTCCCCTGGGGATAATTCCCCAAAATTCCTGAAAAATTCCCCTAATCTCGATGAAATTCCCCCAAAATTACTTTTGCTACATATTTAAGGCATCAAGCTCATTTTTTTTATTGAAAAACAACAAATATCATTAGTTGTGATATAAGTATGTAGTAAGGACAGTCTTTTTAACGTTTCAAGTTAGTAATAGGGGTCTTCATCAAAAATTATGAATTGCTGATAAACTTTATAAAGGGATAAATTGATAATTTTGATAAATGAACTGTCAAACTTTATATTTAAATCTATTTAACCAAAGTTTACCACTTTATCAAATGATGTCGGTGGATAAATGTATAAAATTTATCGAAATTCCATCGTGGCACATAAAAAGCAAATGAACACAATGTACGAGGTAAGAATGAAACTTAATTAGCCATATAAGTTAAATAATAAACAATTTTGTGCAATTATTTACCAAGGTGCGTTCATGTAAGAATGCGGATAAAGTGATAAATTTAACAATTTATCCCTTTAACACTTTATATGAATACCCCAAAATACAAAACGCTAATACCATGATACAAAAAAGAAGGTAGTTTCACTCAACGATTTTGGCCGCCATGTTAGCCATTTGACTTTTACTGGCATTATGACAACTCTATCAAAATCTAGCTACCAGCCACAAAAAAAAAAAAATAAATTTGAACTTCCTTTGAAAAAATTTCAAACAGATTTTAAAATGAAATATCGATCATTTTAATAAAATACAAAAATGAATTACGCGTGTAAATTTGTAGGAATCTTATAAACTTGTGCCAGGATTCCGGAGTGAAATTTTTCAAGTTTTCTCGTTTATTAGAAATAAGTGGTTATGAGCTTGTAACGTGAAGGAATCAAATCTTCCCGAAGTACGATTTGTTTGTTCAAAGCAATATATGTATGTACTTCCTCACTTTAAGAGGTTTTCGAGAAACTGAATCGTATGCAAGTATATTTAAATACATATGTACGTTAGACTGCATCACTCCCCATACAAAAAAAAATCGGTACTGTTTTCCCATTGGAATTATAAAATCTAATATTTTAAGAACTCCACGAAAACGTGTCGGAAAAATTTTAAGATTTACGTGAGCTAGACCGACTTGAAAATACCTTCTTGAGTTTTTTATGGATAAAAATAGGGTTTTTGAAAAAAACACCTCAGATTGCAAAACAGTTTAAGCTTAAAAATTGCATAAAAATAAAAAAAAAATCAACAGAATCCCAATAATGAAATTTTTGATGCTGTTTTTGAACTTTTTTCAAAGATTGGTTTAAGAAAAATTTTAATAACTCGATCCAAGCTTCACCGATTTAGATTTATTTTTTTCGACAATTTAATTCAAAGTATGAACGAGTGTCATTCCAAGTTTAATTAATGGGTGTTAATATTTGAAAAAAATAAAAATTGGGACATGAGTTTTTTGACACAGAAATAAAAAGGGTGAGAAAATACCTTTCCACAGATACATAACTCATAAGTCTAAATCGGTATAGTTTTGGTCTAGTTATTTGAGTTTTCTTGAACCAATTTTTGAAAAAAGTTTGAATGATTTTGCATAATCTTGATACGCGGTTTTGTACTCTAAACGACGGTATGTACATATTTGAATTTGTGAACCGATTCTCACAGACATGTTTGTTGGCTCCAACTGTCTGCTGTTTGACTGCTTAGCTTTTGTTAATAACAGTGGGACAATATGTAATTTGCTGATAAGGATAACAGATTGTGGAACCTGTGTAACTGCAGAGATGAATTTTTACTATCTTCGGCACGTGCTGTGCCAGCTCTTCGTCTGTAATGGTTGGTATGCTAAAATTTCTGCAGCAACAGTTGCCGCTGTTACCAGTCATGTACCTGGCGGTGGTGACGATATATAAAACATTATAGCCATCTTGTATGCATTTCAGTCAATTCAAACGTGTGTACTCATACGAACACAACTCGAGGAGGGACAGAGTATTATTGAGACGGCGAAAAATGTGGTATCAACCAACACAAGCACAAATAAACTGTGTAACGTCCATTATTTGCCATTGTGGACTAGGGATACATATGTGATTAATATGTAGTTATAATTTAAAACATGTGCATAAAAAATTCAATACAAACCAAAAGTTAGTGCAAGTGTTGCAAAGGGCATTTGGTAGCTGTGATTGGCTAATTTAAGTGAAATATGTGCATGTATGCGTACTACAAATTACCAGGATGCGAAATATAATTACCTTACTTAAAAATTTAAATACATATATCTACAAAAAAAAAAAGGTGCATATCAGTGTTTTTCATGTTTTAAGAAATAACAGTTATTTGAGCTATAAAATATGTAAGTGTTAATAAATTGATTTGATGGTGTATGTGAAATTTCATTCCAAATAAAGCATAAAGGTAAATAATTATATACTTGTATAGTTAAGTTAACGGGACCGCCTATGTTCATATGCACAAATCGTTGCTCCTACGCAGGCAGTTTGCCGTGTGCAAGCGCGCTTTGACCCTATTAAATGTCATCTGGTGAATGGGATTTGCGTGCTCTCAAAGCACTCGAGGAAGAGGAACAAAAGGAATTTCTTGCACTTAGCCAAAAAAGTCTATTTGATCCTCCCTCCCCACCAACGGGGGAAAGACTATTCCAACAGACCCAACTATTGAAGCAGCAGCAATTTCAACCGAAACTAACCTATGCCCAATTGCATCCGCATATACTTAATTTACCCACCATTAATGAATGTAACCTAGTTGCGGCGGCTCGCAAACGTCAACAGCTTCTGCAGCAACAGAATACAGCAGATAGTAGAACCGGAGGAAGACGTTTGAAATTCACTCGAGCACTGTCAATTTCGGCACACTCCTTGACAGGAGTTGGCAGTCAAGAAATAAGAAAAAAAGTTGAGTCTCAAAAGTCCAAGGCTAATGTGTCGAAGGTCAGTAATGCGAGTTCACCGGCTCAATCTTACAGTCCCTCACCCATCTACACGCCACCACCAATTAGACGATGTGCGACATTACATCACACACAGCCAGTACGCAAGGCTTTCAAGACTCTACAACAGCTGGAAAAACAGAAAGAGGATCGCAAAAAAGAAGCTGCCGCGACGCTGAAACGCTTGGTTGGCACAAACAAAACCTATTGGAAGTACGGTGCCAACTCTACAGCCGCCTCAATCATTGTACAGCGGAAGAAGCTCAATTCTTCCATTGCAGAAATCGAGTCTAATACTTCTGACGAGTTCGGTTCGGAAGAAACCACAAACAACTTTAGTGGCAATGATAGCCACGCCAACCCTGACCGCTGGCTAAAATCATACGTAGATTGTGACGATAGTGCGACCGATACAGGATCCTGTACGGTGCCACTGACTTCGGACTCAGTTGAAATGATGCGCCTTATGTTATCGGCAGCAACCGCTGCCGTCAAAACTCACCCCATCAATACACAAACTCCTGCAGCTACAGCGGAAAACAAGCCAAAAGATGTTGATTATTTACTCAATAAACGGCCGCTGAATATTGCGACCTCGGTAAATGTGGCAGCAACTAGTGGTGGTTCATGCAAAGATTTTTCGAATCCTTCCACCACCTCCACACCGCTTTGCGCAACTAAAGCCAAACAACTAAACGGCGGCAATAATGTGGTGCAAAGTGACTATGGTAGCACATTCCTTACACTATCATCACGTTATCCTTTAAAATTATCCGCGTCATTATTCACGCCCGAAGAGAAAACTGTTGCTTATAGAGCTTTTAACGAGCAGCAGCGAAGGAAAAGTCTCTCGCACAACGGGGTTCGGCTTGCACCGCTTCCACTTCAGCGTGGAAGAAGTTTAACAGACGAAATCTCAGCAAATGATTGCAGCAATAACAGCAACAGTCACTCGTTGACGATAACAGGACAAAATGTTCGTAGTGCAAACACCCGCAATATGTTAAAGTCCAGTTCGCTGGATATGTGTACGAACATGAATGAAAGTTTGAACGCTAAAAGCGGGAATTGTGCCATACAAAGGTCCAGCTTAATTGCCAATTCTATTGTGGAGGGCATGAAAACGGCATCTTCATTAAGCATCAAAGAACTAGATGTGTTGGCTGATTCAACAAAGAAATTGCGGCAGCAGCATAGCATCTTAAATGTACATACCACCCGACATGCAGAGCCACACGTGACCCCGATTTTGTGTAGGGGCCGCGTTTCATCAAATAATGGCAGCAATTGCAACGGTCCATCGATCGCGGCGACCATAGCGGCAACGGACCAAGGTACTCCTCTGGATTCGCTGCATCAACATATTATCGATGACGACCTGGAACAGCATATCAAGCATTGCGCATGCTCATGCAATCACATGGGCTATGGCAACTCCATGGATTATCAGGTGAACTTCAATTTAGAAAATTTTGTAAAGAATTATTGTTAGCTACTTCTTACTTCTTTTTTAAAAACGATTGTTGAAGCAATGGCCGGTGAGGTGTTAGCTTGAAAACCTTTTTAACCTTGACCCCAAAAGAACTTTTTATCAAAAAGTACGTGCATGGGTTTTCAACATGCTCACCCCTTACTTGAATATAATAAATGGCAAAATGGTAAATTATAAAAAATAGGTAAAACCACTTTCCAGAAGATTATTATTTAATGCGTACCATGCCTTTTAACCACAAACGGGAACTTGTGCTTATGTTCACACATACATAAGTACTTATACATAGGCATGATAACGTGCGCATCGAAATACTGTTGGCCCATTCAACAAATGCTCAATAAATATCAATTGGCATGCATGTAGGCATGCGAATAGAAATGAACACATGCCCACACATATGTACATACATGCATAAATATATACCCTGCAGGAAATGTATCTAACTATAAGCTAACTTTAAGCTGATTATGAAGGAGCCGTAAGTAACTTATTATCTGTATACTTTCTTTGACGAAAGCTAACTATATTTCTATGGCGATGGCCGCGAAATAGTCAAAAGGGTGGTTAACTCTGCATTTGATGTAACTAACTTGTAGCTAACTACTTTTGGGAATAAAATATAAATAGGAAAAACAAAATACATTTTTTTTTGTTTTTTTATTTATTTACTTTATTTATTTTATCACATTTCATATTTGTTTACATATTCTGCTGTAGGTGGTCCCATATTCGAACTCCGTCAGACATAACTTCAAAATGATAATATGAAATTTCGATATTCCTTTTATTTGTCCTCAATTCGAAAAAGTATTTGCGAAGTGCAGGATATTTAAATAGAAACGCTTTTATAGAAATCCCGCAAAAAAGCTAACTACAAGTAGGTTATTTTTTATCAATTGATAATTTTTTTCTGTAGGGTAGTGTGTGTGTATGTATGTACATATGTGCATTACCGACCTTAGTTACCCATTCGCATTCTCGGATGTAAATATGAAAGATGCACACATAGCATTCTCTCTGCTCTTCGCATTGAGTTCCAGCAACAGAATGCAGCATTGACTGATTTATGGATAAAGAATTGAGTGAAAGTCTAGTCAATGGATTGTATGCGGAACACATGCACAAAAGGCCGGCCCTGCCCTGCTGCGGTAATAACAAAATAGGGTGAGGGTGGAAAACCATTATAAAAATTGATAAATACATTTATGGATAGAAAAGGAGCATGCACTGATGCGCATTGGAGGCAAACGTGTTGGCATGTTTGTACATACATATCTACATACATATGTATGTATGTACATATATCTATGCATAGATGGGTGGAACGAAATCATGAAAGCAATTACATCGAATTCGTTGCAGTACTGTACATACATACATAAATCACATAAGACAAATCAGTGCAAGTTCGTGTTTAACAAGTCAGCGCTGTTGCATTGATCAAAAACTTATTTCCTAAATAAATTACTAAAACTTTCTCCGAACGCCCGCCCATTGAAAATAGAAACTCAAAATGCCAAAGCAGTCAACTAACTTTATTCTTCGTGGCATGCTTTGCTCTTTCGATATTAGCCAGTTTTGTGGCATTGTGTGCATGTCACGTTTGAAGTACTGGTTTTGTTTACTTTTTAGTCCAGAGGTGCTCCGCCAACAAAGAACCGTACGTTTAGCCGACATTGCAGTTTCCGTAGATTTTTTATACCCGAGCGCACTTGTGCACAAGGGTATTATAACTTTGTATATAGAAACGCACAGAAAACGTTTTAAATTTTTGTTAATTTTTCGCATCCTAAGCTATTCAAATTATCAAACCGAACAGAGGAGCGTGCTACTATTTGTAAGATCTCTGGAGGTCTCCCTGGTTCGAATGCCGCCATACATAACTTATTAAAAATTATTAATACAAATCGAAATAATTGCTGGATATAATATTCGTTTTTCGTTTGGTTTACAGCAACTAAGAAGAGCAAAAAACATCTGTGAAGTTCAGAATAAAAACGTTTTCATCGAAAAATTTTATCAGAAATACTACTATTCTATCTCTACATTTCTGCCGCACACGGTAGTGGGAAACGGATCCTTAAAGTAAAATTGAATCAGTAAACGGAAAAAATCCCCGTTAAATAATATGTAATTCTGTATATTACTAAACGTGCGATATGTATTTATTTAGCAAAAAATAATTAAAGAAAATTGAAAATTCTCTAAAAACGTTATGATTTTCTCAAATTTTAATTTGTTTGCTTTGATTTGTTTTGGATCGAATTTCCGTGTAAAGTTCGCTTTGGAGACAAACCGGTTTCGGAGTTGTGGCATCTTCTCTCTATCATTTGACTTAAGAAATGTGAGTTTCGTCGATTACTATATACTAGGGCTGTGCGATTATTCGATTACTCGAGCAAGTTGGTTAATCAGTTATTCGGTTAATCAATTACTCGAGTAATCAAGATTTTGATTACTCAAAACGATGATTAATCGAGTTACTTGAAATATGATTACTCAAAAAAATTAATTTTGCTCGTTAAAAGAGTTTGCTTTGGAAAATGCTTATTTTCTTTTTTATATTCTGTATATGAAAAAAATATGTATGTATGTATGTATTTCCCTTTTATTTTTGAAAACGGAAACGTTTTTTTCAAAGTATCAAGGAACTTCAACTGCTTTATATGTATGTATGTAAAGAGTACTTTGAAATGTTCATTACTCATTTTATTCGTAATGTTGATTAATCATAAAGCAAATTACTCAAATATTTTTGTTTTTGGTTAATCAAAATCTTGATTACTCGAGTAACTGAACATTTGAGTAATCATAATTTCCAATTAATCGAATAATTGTGTTATTTACTTTATGATTAATTAAAATTTTGAATAATCAATTAATCGCACAGCCCTACTATATACATATATACGTATATATGACACACCGTAGTGTGGTTGTTTATATGCAGGCACAAGTTTTAGATATTCGAATTATTTTGGCAGCTATTAGCAGTAACTGTATACGAAATTGTTTGGATTTTTTTTTTGTTCTTTCGCGGTTTGTTATATGGTATTACCTGCAAGTATGTAAGTTCATAAAAGTCGATGACTTTTGTTCTAATGGTACTTTTGTACTGGTTCGGTCTGAGCAAGATCCAAAAGGCGTCTTACAATCATGATAACGCTTGACAGCCGATCTTATAAACTGGCAACATATTTTCGTCTGTGCATTAAGGCACATGTTTGTTATAGTTGACAGTTAAATACTATTTATTTCAAAGGATACACATTTACTGTAGCCCTAGCCGTGCTTCTAATAAAATATGGGAAAAATATGACTTTTGTTACTTTTAATATATATCACCCGCATGAGTACATATTGTTGAGTAAGTTTTCTCCGATTTCTATCTAAACATGTGAACATTTTGGCATGCATATAATCTCTGCGTCATGTTTTTCTATCATGGAATATACATACAGGTCTCGGATTGCCGCTGGACACGCTTCTATAAACTTTGCAGCCTGGGCTTTGCTTTATTTCCTTTTTAATGTGCTTTAGGTTTTTGTATACTTTTCATTTTTCGTGCTTGGTTGGCAGTTGAAAATTTGCAAACTTTGCATAAAATTTGCATACTTGTAGGCGCTTTAGCCGCTCAGCATTCGCTCGCAATTTAGCAACAGTTGTGGGTAAAGTAAGAATGTAAGGTGTTGTTGATGGTGGACACCTCGTTGTTGTGTGCAACCTAAGGCCATGAAAAGTTCAAAAACTGTTCGTATAAACCAAATGCGTTTTATTCTTCCCCATGGCAGGTACACTTACTATGATTTTAAATCCTTTTCACAATGTGTTCGCTCATCTGAGTCTTTGTCACTTTAGAGTGAGCAGCCTAGTGGTAACGAAACCTCTCGCCTTTCCATCTGCATCATTTTGCTAATGCAACTGCGTTAATTTTGAGTTCTTCCCTTGCGAGTATGACATTTCGCTGCTTCGTTTGCTCGTTTCGTAGAGAGGTGGGCAGTAGTTACGACACAATTTAAATAATTTTGATATATGTATGTATGTATTTTTGAATACCAAGAAACATGTGTGTATGTATGTATATATGCCCATTAGGGTGGTCCTTAAATCTAGGAACTAAATTTTTAAATCAGATTTGCTAAGCCTCGATGCTACTATAGTCAAATATATCTCATATCAAGGCGCACGCCACAAATCGGAAATCGGAGGAGAAGCTCGGCCAAACACTAACATATTTAAGTGTATGCACCAATCTATTATTATTATTATTATTACTATTATACGTTCATTGGGCAATTGGACATAACTGTTGTTGAATTTCAATTAAGTATGGATTAACTATCATAGATACGTACATAAGGTGCTATTACGATTTATGTGTTTGGCCATGTAGCCTTTGTCGAAAAGTATAGCGTAAAAAATAAAAAAAATTAAAAACTGTATTGAGCCCTATATATGTATGTTGATTATTTACGCCTTAAACCACTTTAATTAAATGGTTTTCAGTAATTGAATGGTTGTGGCTGAGTGCAATTCAAGTTGTGTAACTATCGGTGTTAAATTTTGTGGTGAGTTAAATTTTAAAGCAAAACAGGTATCGAGTTACGTTTGCATGAATTCAATCGCTTGACACTTGCGTGAGTGTGGCATACTCCGCAGTCGATCGCAGCTGAATGTTGTGTTGTGTTTAAATTGCTGTTCGCGATATGAATGGTCTGTCAAGCATTTAATAGAATGCATCCCTGCATGACCAACATTTAAAATGCATTTCCTCTCCAATAAAATACATACGTACATAAGTATGTATGTTAGCGCGGATTATTTTAATAGTAAAAACGAGCAACCAAACAGAGTGAGTTAAAGCAAAATACGACATAAGCTGGCTATTTCTGAAGCAATTGGAAAAACATCAACCGGAAATCATGTGTCAGCTGACAATGGAAAGTGCATTGTAT